CCCAAGCTCTAGACCTTGACCACCACCATGGCTCAGGTGGCTCTGAGGAAACTACAGAAATGCAGTCTGTCTCAGTTTCCTCATTTCTAAAATCCAGATGATACCTCACGCCTCATTGCAGAAATCATGTTTTTTCTTAACATATGTCTGAATACCAAGGCAAGAAAGCAATCTCATGTAGGCCTAAAGGGTAGTCATTTTTAGGAAATTCATGTAAAAATAAAACCAAACTCTAATACTGTTCTGCCCCAAGTTAAGGAAATGGTGGATTTGTATTATATTCCCTCTGTTTGATATTTTGTGAAGACTTGCTCTCCGACCCAGTTCCCATTCTAAGAGTGGATTAAGAAGCAGGGAGAGATGGGATGGAGGAGGGCTACACAGATACAGAGAATTAGGTTAATTTGACTACAAAACTAGGTGTAGGCATGGCTAAAAAGAGAGGCACAGCCACGTGGCCAGCAACCTACGGATGCAACTGTGCAGAAGTTTAAGCTGACTGGCACGCAGGCTACATTTTCCTACAACAAAAAATAATGGGTAGGCTCCCTTGCAAGGCTATTCTGAGACAAGCGCTGGGTTAAATTAGTTATTGGTCAGTTGACCTGGGGAATCTTTTTAAAACTGGTGTAATACTGCATTCTCAGGATGGAACTTACTGAACCAAGAACACAAGCTCAGCCTTCCAGCCCCAGGACAGCCACACCAGGGCATGAGGATAGGTTCGCTCCTAATCAGGGGGCACATAAGGCTTCCTTTTGGGACCCCTTTTCCACCCCCTTCTTCACACATGGGTGAGCTTACTGAACCCTTCCAGTGTTGGCTGGTTAGGTGAATAGTAAATGCTTGTTTGCAACTTTCCTTGATTCATTCAATAATTCAACAAATACTTATTGAGCACTCACTAGGGTCCTGGTGCTGGTCTAGGAAGTAGGGCTACAGCAGGGAACAAAATACAATGTTATTCCTGTTCTGAGCTTACAGTCTCCCAGGCAGGAGTCGAGAGACAGGTAAATTATTTAGTATGGAGGACTGTGGCAAGAGCTGTGCAGAAACTTAACTCAGGGGAGGGCAGGAGGGGGAAGGTGAATTTGCTCCTGTAAATTTCAGGCCTGGGGGAAGGTGGCCTTTGGGCAGAGGCCTGGAGGAGGGGAGGGCAGTGGAGGCGGGGACAGCCTGTCAGGCAGGTGGGGCCCGTGGGAAGACAGAGGAGAGAAGGCAGGGAGTAACCCTGCAGTTCTCCCAGGACTTCCAGGTCACAGGGAGTTTGGGGCTTTAGTCTGAGGGAGCGGGAGGGTTTCCAGCAGAAGAGGGACAGAATCTGAGTTCAGGACCCTCAGGCGCAAGCCTCGGTCTCAGAAAGTGCTGGTGCCAGGAGGGGAAGGGAACAGACCTGGGATATCTGAAGGTGAGGTTGATAGGGTTTGCTGATGGATGAGGCAGAGGGAGAGAGACGGGAGTGAGGAGAAAGGAGAGTGGGGGGAGAAAGGAGAGAAGGAGGGGAGAGGGGGAGAGAGAGAGAGAAGAGGAAAGAGGGGAGAGGAAAAGAGAAGGAAGAGAGAGGGCGGGGGAGAGAGAGAGAAGAGAGGAGTCCACAGGGATGTTCACGTCTTGCCCTGGGAAACTAGAAGGTTGGAGCTTCCACTTACTGCAACAGGGAGACTGTGAGGAGCAGGTTTGTGGAAGATCAGTTCTAGCAACGGTTTAAAGGCAGGAAAGCTCCAACCCAGCTCTGACAGGGTCTTATCCCCTCTGCAGGGCACTATTCAACCAATTCAGAGGGAGCTACATTTCTCCTGTGGTTCAGCATTGCATTAAAATAATCTGGGTACTTGTTAAAAATGCAAATTCCCAGAGCTCTCCTCAGACCTACCAACTCAGGCTCTCTATGGGTAGATCCCAGGAACCTGCTCCTCAGCTGCTTCCCCACTGATGACAATGTTGAGGGTATATGCAAACTTTCCATTTCTGAGCTAGAAAATGCTCATTGA